GGAAGCTTCTTTGCCAAGAACTAAAAGGCTTGTGCACGGAACCATTCCAAGTCACGATTTCTGGCAAAAAGCACATAATTAAATCGAAAAACATTGGAGACTTCAAAAAAATCAGGGAGTATGTACAAAAAAATAATGGAGGATATTCCTACAGACTACAGGAGGAAAAACCACTGAAAGTGGTATTGAAGGGGGTAACAACAGCCTTCAAAGAAGAAGACGTCGTAACTGAACTGGTCTCAATGGGCTTCACTGAGGTCATTGTCAAAAGACTCCATAGACAATCGACCAAAATACCGATGAATATAGTCCTAGTAGAGCTACCGAAAAATGAACAAAATAAACGAATCTATGGAATAACCGAAATACTTTACCAAAAAATAGTCGTGGAATCATTCAGGACTACAAAACGAGTGACCCAATGCTTTAACTGCCAGGGCTTTGAGCATGGCCAGCTAAACTGCTTTTTGAAGCCCAAATGCGTCAAGTGTGCTGAAGAACACCATTCGAAGGATTGTCCAAGAAAGTCGAAACAGCTCCCACCAAAGTGCGCTAACTGTGGAGAGGCGCACACAGCCAATTACCGCGGATGCCCAAATTTTCCGAAGCCACAACAACAGCAGCTAAAGCCTCCCAGACAAAACTCCCCTAACACCATACCTCAAGCAAGCTCCACTAAAACAGAAGAAGCAACTGTTGAAAAACAAAAGGCAAGTTACGCTGAAACTGCAAAAAAGAAAACTACTCGTTCTGACACCAGGGAACTGTGCGAAAAGTTATTAGAAATTATCAAAACTTACTTACAATGAAAGGCAAATTACCTTTGAAAATCGTTTTCTGGAATTGCAACGGAATCAAACTCAAAAAAGAAGAATTTCTACATTTTTTAGAAGAAAACTCAATAGACATGGCACTGGTCAGTGAAACACACTTAAAACCATCTGTCGACCTCAAACTCAGAAACTATCAGACAATAAGAGACGATAGAATCGTTGGAAGGGGCGGTGGAACGGCAATAATTCTAAAAAACTATCTTAAATATAAAAAAGTGCTGATTCAAACATCTAACATGGAAAACACCACAATTCTAATGAAACCAGATGGAAGGGCAGTAGTGCAGATATCGTCAATCTATAAGAAACCCGATCTACCACTCCTGGAGGAAGATCTGAATCTCTTGTTAGAGAATAATCAATCAGTAATCGCTGCAGGAGACTGGAACTCCAAGCACCCTCTCTGGGGCTCAAGAACCTCCAATAATAGCGGAACCGTGCTTCATAATTTTTCCGAAAAAGAAAACCTGGACATTGTCGCACCTTCTTCACCCACGCACTACAGTCCTTTGGGTAATCCAGACTTTCTAGACATCGCAATTCTTAGAAACATCCCCTGGACTTCGAGGATTAAGACCCTGGATGCCTTATCTTCAGATCACCTCCCAGTAATCCTAGAGCTGACCTGCCCGAAGGATGAATTCACGACTAGGGCTTGCCGACTCACTAACTGGGTACACTTCCAACAAGACTTAATTTCCAGTACGCCTCCTAGAGTACCCTTGAAAACGGAAGCCAATATTGACTCAGCAGTGACCATACTAAATGATAAAATCTACAACAGCTACTCGAAAAACACAGTTATATCATCCTCTTCATCAAAACAGAACCCCTCGACCAAGGCCTTGATAAAAGAAAAGAATAAAGTTCGTAAGAGATGGCAAGCAACCTGGGATCCAGCCCATAGAGCCATTTATTTAAACCTACAGGGAAAAGTTAACAAAGCCCTCAAATCCGACTCCACCGAGAACTGGAATCAATTCATACACAAGATTGAATCAAGCCCAAAGGACTTCTGGAGAAAAACAAAACCCATCAGGAAAAAAACGGAAAGGATCTCAAGCTTAGTAACGAACGGCAAAACCTTATTGACCGACAAAGAAATCGGAAATGAACTTGCAGAACACTTCTCCAACCAGTTCTCCAAGGAAAAAGAAGACCAACCAAATATAACTTATAATCACCAACAAGAAAAAATGCTCACAATGACGACACCAAATGAAGTCAAAGAAGTGATTAAATACTTAGCTAACCACAAAGCTCCTGGCCATGACAATATCACTCCGCAAATGGCCAAGAATCTTCCCATCAAATGGATTGTATTTCTAGCTGGAGTATTCAACGCCGCACTGCACTTGTGTTACTACCCTAAAGTCTGGAAGCATGCTATCATAATTCCAATTCCAAAAAAATCCGCTAAATCCCCTGAAGATCTAAGACCTATCAGCCTCCTCCCCACCATCGGCAAAATTTACGAAAGAATTATTTTACGTAGACTTCAGAAGTACTTGGACAACTCTAACTTCATCATCCCGCAGCAATTCGGATTTAGAAGGGGGCATTCAACAACTCACCAACTCATTGCAGTTCTGGACTACATCCAGATAAGAAGATCCCACAAGGAAGTGGTAGGTGCTGTCTTTCTAGATTTTGCGAAAGCATTTGATAAAGTTTGGCATAATGGCCTTATAAAGAAACTCACAAAACACCAGTTTCCAAGTGACATTATCAATTTTATGCAGAATTATCTACAGGGCAGGACATTTTCAGTCAAGCAAGGAAATTTTATAACTGAACCAAAGCCAATCCAGACTGGAGTACCTCAAGGCTCTATCCTCGGACCCTACCTTTTCAATATTTACATTAATGACATCCCACTGCACTCTAAATGTAAACTTAAGCTCTTCGCAGATGACACAGCAATTTTATTTAACTCTAAATCAGTCAACCTATTGGTTACTCAGCTTCAGAATTACCTAAATGACATAATCAAATGGTGCGATGAGTGGAAACTAGACATTAACCCAACTAAGACTCAAGCAATACTTTTTCCCCCAAGAGATAACAAAAAATTCAAGCCACAAACCAACTTGACAGTAAACTCAAGCACTATTAGTTGGGCCGACCATGCCAAGTATCTTGGTGTCACTTTGGATTCGAAATTAAAATTTAACCTACATGTCCAAAACACCATAAGAAAGGCAAAGATAGCCAAAATATCTCTATCAAGCCTGCTCAATTTTAAAAGTAATTTAACAACAAAGCATAAATTCACGTTGTACAAAACCTGTATTCTACCCATCATCATGTACGCACTACCAGTCTGGGGCAAATATATCACACCTACGGATAAAAAAAGAATAGATGCCTTCATGAGGATTTGCTTACGAACCACTATAGGAGCCCCATTCAATCTTTCAAACAAAATTCTCAAAGAAGATCTCAACCAGCCTAATCTAGAAGAGATTTATCAAGACTCTGCAACAAGACTATTCTCTCAATTTCAAAAATCATCAAATCCAACTATACAAGAAATTGTTCAAAATCAAGGTGACCTCAGCCACCGAATCCGACGACCTGGACCCAATGGCTAGCTGACAGCCAAACACCCAACAACTGCCCTCCTGTAAGGTTCCGGGGGCCACTCCAGCATTACAACTCGCAATGTGTAAATAATCTGGACAAGGTGACTCGCGAGCTGTGCTCGAATGTAACACCTGCAAATTGAGATGAAATAAATAAATAAATGCAATATAACAGCGGTATGGTAGATTAAACTGGCGAAACCGCTGGGAGGGTTCACCACTGATGAGCCAGGCCCTCCCTTTAATTTTTTCATCGCAGTAAGGACAGTAGAAATTGTTTTATTTTAAAAAGAATAATACGCCTCTAAAATAGTTTTATAATTCTCTATGAACTTATATATATAAAAAAAAAGATATATTTTGATAATTTGAAACTCGTTGTTTTAATGTACATCCATACAGAGTTCAAAACAACAACTACCCACCCGTGCAGGCACGGACACGTTCCGCCGCGTCACGTGGGAAAACATACAATCACTCACATCAAACACTCAAAAAACCCCTTCAAAAAGAATTAAATAAACTATATCTGGATCAAAAATTGAAGTTTTATCTTTCTCAATCTAATGAACTGTTCAAGAAATTCTTTCCAATTGCTGTCCCAAATTTAATTTCTTCTGATAAATTCACTACTTTATTCTTAACAGGCAAAGGACCCTTCTTAAGTTTCCTATTCAAACTGAATGTTATCAATGATTCAACATGTGAATGCCGCTTAGATGTTGAATCACCAGAGCATCTTTTAACTTGCCCTCTGACTAATCAAATTGTATGTAGATACTTTGAAACATTACCAAATTATCTTTGTGTATATACTATATCTTATGAGAACTTTGTTAAGTTTAGAACTATTTGTACAATTATTTACAAAACACTACTAATCCGTCGTGTAAATAATTAATCATATATATGTAAATAATACTGGCACAGCACAATAGTCCTTTGGACTTCGTGCTTTTTGTAACAATAAATAAATGTCAAAAATATCATAAAGAAAGCAAAAATAACATTATAAGTCTGTTCAACTATAAAAGCAAATTGTCTACAAAACAAAGTTTACTCTATACAGAAGTTGTATCCTCCCGATAGTAACATACGCACTCCCAGTTTGGTGCAAATATATATTACAACCACAGACAAAAATAGGATAAACGCATTCATGAGAATCTGCCTTCGGACAAGTATAGGAGCTCCATTCAACCTATCAAACCAGATACTGAAGGAGGACTTGAACCAACCCGATCTAGAAGATATGTACCAAACTTCCGTTAAGAAATTATACCTTCAAATGCAAAATTCAAATAATCCAACTATACAAGATATTACGATGTACTAGAGCGCCATCTGTTATCAAATTATAAAACTATTCTAGAGGCGTAATATTCTTTTTTAAAATAAAACAATTTCTACTGTAGAAATTGTTTTATTTTAAAAAAGAATATTATATAGAATAGTTTTATAATATACAAGATATTATTAAAATAATCAGTTATCACCGTCATAATCAAGCAACAATTCTTAATTCTGTCACCGTTTGCTTTTGTGAATGGAATAAATACCCAAATATGGCCATTTCTCATAACCATCGGTAGTTCAGTTGTAGAATGCTCGCCTGCCACGCGGCGGCCCGGGTTCGATTCCCGGCCGATGCATTTTTTTTTTTTTTTACAATTTTTAAAACTCATTTATATATTATACAGGAATGACATCCACGGCGCCAATTTATAATTGTAACGAATAGTATTTTTATAAAAGCATTTAATCGAGTAAAACCCGGGCGTTGCCCGGGTCATTCGGCTAGTCTATATATATATAAAAATGAATATCTGTCTGTCTGTGTGTGTGTGTACTCTATAGATTCAAAAACCATACATCCAATCGCCGTGGAATTTTGGGATATTATTAGGTATATCCCCGGAAAGGTTTTCGAAAAATAATTTCTTGAATATCCTTAGAGTTATTTGCAGATTTGTAGCTTTAACTCGCAAGCAGCGCCACCTTGCGACGGAAATAGGCTTAGGTCTGCCCCACCCCCTGTCGAGAGAATGTAATCGTCCGACCGCCGGCCGGATGGACAGTCCAAGTACCCACCGACCAATCAGAGGGGTCAAGATGTCCTGGCGTGCGGGGGCAGAGTTGGTGACACAGCTGTGCCAAGTAGACAAGAAAAAAAGCCTCGCGGGGGCTTGCCCAAGATGACCTCCGGGAACTTCGTCCATCTTCCGTAAACGACCATGATTTTATTCAACTTATCGTGTATTTTTCAAGGGACCGAGAAAAAATGTTCACTAGATAAAACGATGATTTTGTAATGTAGAAAATTAGCAAAGACAAAATTCAGAATGCCACTGTTTTGTTTCTTTATAAATCAGGATGCAGAGATGAACAATTATTTATTTTTATTTTATGAGAGGGAACTTCCTAACTTATGGCTTATTTATCATTTATTTATTTACAGCCTAACTCGAGCTGTTTTCATCTCAAACATAAACAAACATGATGATAATTACTCTTTCATTTAAATTCTCTGAATATTTACAATTACATCACATCTCCCCTCTTAGAGATTAGCTCAGTCATCTCCAAAATGTCTGGGTGGACGAACTATTCTTCCTGAGCGAGTCCTATAAAGTGCTTCTTTAGGAGATGTTAATGAATCGGTCACATCCGTAGGAGCATCTGAAGTGTGTGTGTTGGCTTCTGGGTAATTTATATATGGCGCTTCGTCTGGCTCGAAGTGTGGAGACCCTGGAGACCTCTGACCAGTAGGAAGTAGATGGAAGCGATTTCTTCTAACTCTTCCTCTCGGTGTATCGACCATATATGATCTAGGAGTATCTTCTTTGGAAATGATGACTCCGGGAGTTTTAAGGTCCGTCAGCCAAACTCGTTCATTTACTTCCAATGGAGGCAGTTCTCGTACTCCTTTTGTTCGATCAAAGTAGTATTTTTGTTTTTCCCTTTGAATAGCCTCTTGATTTTTCAGATTCTTTAGATTGGGTGGTTGGTGTTGTTTCGTTGGTGTTGGAATGGTGGTGCGAATCCGCCGTCCCATGCTAAGTTCTGCTGGGCTGAAGCCATTTGCAAGTGGTGTAGCTCGATATGCCAGCAAAGCCAGATAGGGATCTTTTGACTTGCCAATTCTTTCTTTAACAATTTTTACAAAAGATTCTATGAAGCCGTTACTCTGCGGGTATCTTGGACTGGAGGTGACATGAGTAAATCCGTAATCTTGGTCAAATTCTTTAAATAGTGATCCGAATTGGGGGCCATTGTCACTCCGCACCTCCAAAGGAATTCCGTGCCTTGCAAAGATGGACTTACAGTGGACTATTACAGAAGCTGATGTCATGTCCTCTAATCTTGCAATTTCTGGGTATCTTGAATAATAGTCAGTTATTAACAAAGATGAACAATCTTGTCAACCCCAACTTTCTCCCAAGGACAATTTAGAAGCTCTGAGGGTAATAGTGGCTGATGTCGATTTGTTCTTTCCTCAATACACATAGGACATGTTCGGACCATCTCCTCAATTTCGCTTGTGATCCGGGGTCACCAGACGGATCCTTTGGACCTTTCGCGACATTTCACTATCCCAAGGTGTCCTTCATGAATTCTTTGGAGCAACCCTTTCCTGATATTCTCTGGGATAACGTATCTTGACCCTTTCAGGAGAATACCATTCTCAGCGGAGAAATTATCCTTTGCTGGCCAATATTGACTTTCGGACATGGAGACATTTGCTCTCTCCGGCCATCCTTCCTGGGTGTATTTAATAATATTTTGTATAACCTGGTCTTTGTCTTGACTTTTTTTGATTTCCTTTACTCGGACATCAGATATGGGCATAAATGAGACAACCTGTTGAACGTAGGCACATAACTCCTCCTCCAATTCCCGAGTCCCGACTTTCATCCTAGGTGATCTAGATAGCGCATCCGTCACTATCAAGTTCTTTCCTGGCGTATTTACGATCTTATACGAATATCTCATAATCCGTAGTCTCAATCTCTGAATCCTAGGTGTGAGATCATCGATGTTTTTGGAAGTAAAGTTCGGTACTAGTGGTTTGTGGTCGGTTTCAAGAGTGATCACCAGGCCTTGGATGTATTGCTTGAATTTCTCACAAGCCCAGGTGATAGCCAGCGCCTCTTTTTCGATTTGAGCATAACGCTTTTCTGTTTCAGAGAGCGTTCTAGAAGCATATGCGATGACTTGTCTCAGTCCATCTTTGGTTTGCCATATTACTGCGCCTAGCCCAAAAGATGAAGCATCGGCTGATACTGTGATAGGCAAAGAAGGATCTACATTGCTAGCCCTTGCGCAGAAGTAAGAGACTTTTCTTTATTTGGTCAAATGCCCGATCTTGATCATCTTCCCAAATCCATTCTTCTTTCTTTGACAGTAACTTGTTCAATGGATGCGATATCTCCGCTAAGTTGGGGACAAATCTAGTTGAAAAATCTACCATTCCTAAAAATTGTTTTAGTTCCTTGACAGATCTCGGTTTGGGAAACTCCAGTATAGCTCGTTTTCTTTTGGGGTCTACTTGAATTCCGTTAGGATCAATTTGATGACCTAAAAACTTAATAGTTGTAACTGCAAATTTGCATTTATCCTTGTTCAAGGTAAGTCCCGATTTAGAAAGTCTTGTTGATACTGTTTCGAGTCTTTTATCATGTTCTTCTTGGCATGAACCATAAACCAATATATCATTCATATTGCATAGAGTTCCTTCCAGTCCTTCCAATATTTGACCCATTCTTTTCTGAAAAATTTCAGGAGCGGAAGAGATACCGAAAGGTAACCTCTTAAACCGAAATCTCCCAAATGGAGTGATAAATGTGGTAAGTGCTGACGACTCTGAAGACAGTGGTATTTGCCAGAATCCACTATTGGCATCCAACTTTGTGAATAATTTAGCTCCTTTCAACTGGGCTAGCGTATGTTCTACCACCGGGATCGGGTGTGTTTCCCTTAGTATATTTTGATTGAGTATCGAGAGATCGACACATATTCTTAATTTTCCCGAAGGTTTTGCAACGAGAACCATGGGCGAACACCATTCAGAAGAACCCTCAACTTTTTCAATTACGCCATTTGATGTCATTCTCTCCAGTTCCATTTGAAGTTCTTTCATTAGAGGTATAGGTACTCTTCTTGGTGTATATATCGAATAAGGTTTTGCCCCTTCTTTCAACTTTATTTCGTACGGAATATCTATTTTTCCCAGTCCAGTAAATAACTTAGGAAATTTGAGCATTGGGTCTAGCTTGGTAGGAGCATGATCTTCGACAATATTTATCCTCCTAACGAGACCTAGGATCTCGCTAGCCCTACAGCTTAGTAAAGGTCGGGCAACCCCTTTAACGATGTAGATGCTCTCTTCGCACGTCTGCCTTTTTGATTCCAAAAAAGCCTGGAACATTCCATTTACCTCTATCTTCTTGGAAACAGCAAAAAGATTCTTATCGGCCTTCTCCGTCTTAAGGTATCCAAAATGTTGTAAGTAAATCTCTTCTGGCATAACCGATTTAAATTTTATTGGCTGGTCATTCACCTTTATCACTTCACACCACTTATCTTCCGCATTCTCCCGCTTTCCCACTATTCCAATAAATGCATTATTTTGGGAGCTTGATACTTCTTTTATGGTTTTAGTGTGACAAACCTTGGCAAAATGACCTTTATTCTGCACTTGTTGCAAATAGCATCCTTAGCAGGACTTTGTTCTTTCGAATGTCCTTGGTAATATCCACATCGGAAACATTTAGGTTTCTCATTAGAAGACCATCCTTGATGATTCTTTGGAAAATTAGAATTGTACGTTTTTGTACCTTTCATTCTGGTTTTCTGAAAAATTGTGCCATTTCTCCCTCCTTTCTTGTCTATCGCATCCACGTTCCGATTTTCAGTGTCTTGTCTAATTTCTTTTTGTTGATTTTTTACACTTTCTGATTGGCGCACTATCTGGATTGCCTTCTCCAAGGTTAGTTCCGATTCCAACTGTAATTTCTCAGAAAGATTAAAGTTTTTCACTCCAACTACTAACCGATCCCTGATCATCTCTTCTTTTAAGATACCATAGTTGCAGTTCTCTGCCAGGACATAGAGATTGGTTATAAATTCCTCTACAGGCTCACTCTCCCCTTGACTTCTTCTATTAAATTTTGCTCTTTCATATATAACGTTTATTTTTCCTATAAAATAGTTTTGGAAAATTTGGACACTACAAGTTTATAGTCATTATTTTGTGCTTCACTTAAATTAAATAAATTCAAAATTTATTCTGCCTTATCGCCCATAATGTAAACCAGAGCATTTACTTGCTCATTCTCACTTTTCTCTGAAAGTCCTGAAGCGATTCTTTGAAATCTTTTGAACCATATCGGCCATTCATTAGGTTTACCAAAATTGAAACCCTTCTGGAGCAGCAATTTGCATATAATTAGCCTTTTTTTTTTCTTAAAAAAAAAAAAATTTACTTATATTTCAACTTTATAATTTTAATAATTGCTTTTACGCTTTCTTTTCCACGCGGTTAGGCTTAGCTTAGCACGTTATAAAATTTACTTACAGCTTTAGGCTTCTTTTCCTTTTACCGCTGCCACCATGTTTTGTTTCTTTATAAATCAGGATGCAGAGATGAACA